TTTTTTTTTTTTTTTTTTTCCGGATCCCTCTCCAGATCCACCAGGCCGGCAAACTGATCTGCAGGAAGTGCAAGCGCCAAGTCACGGAGCTGACGGGCTGCGTGGTCCAGCAAGGGACGCGGCGCTACAGACTGTGCCACAAGTGCTTGGCAGAAGCCAGTTTCGACAGCAGCACCCCCGAGGATTTCGATGCAGGACATTCCCCCGTCTCCTCCTCGGCGGGGAACAAACGCCCCAAATGGGCTCTGGAGGAGGAGGAGGAGCAGAAATCAGATGAAGAGACAGCAGAGGAGGAGCCGTATAATTTGGTTGTCCGACAGACTAGTGATGATGTTCCAGATGAGGTAGAGGAAAAGGTGAAACCAAATCTTAGGTAGATATTTGTGTACTTGTTACTCGTTGTATTCGAGGTTAAATCGCTCGCGTCCTACCGACTAAATGCTGGTTTGCTACTTGAATTGAAATGAAGTGTTGCTGAAATTCTATTTTGAGAAGCAAAATTTGGGCTAAAACAAAGTTGTTTTGTACTTGCAGACACGGAACAGTGTAACTGGTTCTAAATGTCATCCAGAAAGTACTGAGAATCATAAGATATCCTGAGTCGGAAGGGACCCACAAGGATCATCACAGTTCATCTCCTCACTTATTATCTGGAAACTATTTAGAAGAATTGGTTTATATTTCATCAAGGACTTGCCCAGAGCTCCTGCTCACAGTGAAAGCGGGAACCAACCTACAGTTCTACAAAGGTTCTGTATGATACAGATTTTTTACAAAGCAAAGACTGCAAACTTGCTTTGAGAAAGTCTTACTGAAGTGAGCAGCTAAGAAACGTTGAACCACCTTTTTTTTTCGCTGGCATTGTAATTAACTTGTACATACACTTCAAAAACTTCCTAAGAAAGGAGCAAAGGAAACAAGTGGAATTCTTCCTGCTGAAGAACTTATTGACCAGAGCTTTGGTTTTTTGTTTCTTTTTTTTTTTTTTTTGAGTGAACTTAACTGCTTCTTAGAGTTGAGAAAAGCATGATTAAAGAATTCCCACAGGCAGAGTAGAGTAGTGACCAGAGCATATGTAGTGCACTTGGGTAGTATGACTTTGCCTCTTTTGTACTGTGAATTTTATAGAAAGATACACCAACGTGGTTCCAAGGAAATAAAAGTGCAATCACTGGAAGTACACTTGTCAGGTTTTTTCCTTAATTATTTTTTTTTCAGGACTGGTGCAAGATTTCCTTAAACTCCTGTTCTATCTTATTCTAGGAATAAAGATGCCAAGTTTAATTTCAGTGGGACAGTTGTGGCTTAGATCATGGAGCTATTTCAAGAAATGTTTTCCTGCTCATACAAATTTAGGATGCTTGACAGCATAAAAAACATTTGTTTCTAAGGACAAAACCCCTCAGAGGCAAAGCAACCTTTGTAATTCTGGAGCCTCCTCAGCTTTTTTACCAACAATGTTCTTTTCCCCCCAGTCATTTGGATCAGAGAACCTGCACTTGGTAGAGAAACTGAAAATACTCAGTGCTAAAATGATTAAAAAAAATACATCTCAGGGGGAGTGTACAGTACAAACACTCTGCCTGGGAGCAGAGAATGGCACTCCCAGTGGGTACTGTTGATAAAGAGCCACTGTTTGGTCTCATGTCTCCGTGTTTTCTTTCCTGGTAGCAGCATCTGTAGCCTGAGGTTACTGCCAAGCAAGTGAAAATTCCCTGCAGGGAATCTGAGAACAGGCCTATTGATTCACATCCAGGTTCTCCAAGAGTTGCCATTAAACTTGGAGAATGGGGTGAGCCTGCATAACAATTCCCCAACTCCCCCAAGCTCCAGCCTTTTTCAGTTTAAGGGTTTTCCTTGCCTTGGGATTTGTACCTTTAGGAACCACCAATGCAGGTCTTTTCCAAGTACTTCACCACTCTGCCCTTAAACTCATCTAACCTTCCTCCATGAACAGCATCCTTTGGTACCCCCAGAAGGGTTTGCAGTCTGAGCATGTTTTTTAATTACCCAGTTAATTGTCTCAGTGGGTCCCCAGCTCGGTGAGAGGCTGCAGCCAAGGCATGGGGCTCCTGTAAAGCCCTGGGAGAACAACACTGTGGGCTAAAACCTGCCCCTGCAAATGGAACAAGGCGGATTTGAGGCCTGTTTTACAGCAAGCACTTCATAAATACTGAAAAAGAAACAGATGAGTAACACTTAGTTCATTCCAAATGTTTTTCTAGCAAGTTCCTGCCAGCACTTGAAAAAGCAGAGCACTTCACTTGCTGCAGCCAGAGACACACGGGGCATCTCAGCATTGGTCTCCAAAGTTAAATTTTAACTCTGTTAGGTTTTTTTCCCTCGCCTTTTAGAGAGCTGGACAAAAGGCAAGGCTGCCCCAGCGCTGCCCTCAGCCCCTCACCCACCTCCCCACAGCCCCACTGATGCCCTCAGAAAAGAGTCCACTCACCTCAGCAGGGAGCAAAGTACAAGGGTCTGGCTTGGCCGCTCAGAAATCACACACAAATCCAGGGATCCTTTCAGTCCCAGTTTTTATTTCGGCACGCTTAAAAAATAAGAGGGGTTTTTATCCCTCAGTCTTTATATGGAAATGAAACCAGATCTATTTAAGCTGACTTTGCAAGGGAAGACATTACCTCCAGAGCTGAGGCACGGGAAGCATTCACAATAACAGGTCAGGGCTGTGCTCCCCACATTTAAATAGCAATGGCAGGTAACACACCTTTGCCAACCTGTGATTTAAGACAAAACACACTTTCCATTATCCTTGATTAATTTTGATTCAGTGAAGCCCATAATCCTTTGACATTAAAGGACTGTCTTCATTGTCCTTTCCAAAGGGTGATCCAAACCATCTGCTTTTACAAAGAGAATCCTTTTTCACAAGACACAGTTGGGAGTGAAGCTGCAGAGAGCCTGGGGCACCCCCTTTCCACCCCCTGGTTCATCTCCTGGCAGAGCTGCCAACTTTTTAGGGGGGTCAGAGGTGATGTGAGGATTCCAGGTACATGGTCACATGCTTCAGGATTTCAGGTGGAAAATTATTTACAGCAATTCAGCACCACCTGCTGGCACGAGTTTTGGGTTTAAGTACTTTTAAAGGTGTGCTGGTTTGGTTTTTTTAATTGGTTTAATTTTATTTTTTTTAGGTGTCTTTTCAACGGTCGGAATTTTTTCCACATTAAATCTGAGCCACTGCAGCTATTTGGGGTTTGTATAAAATGGAGGAGGGATGTCAGCTCAGAATTAGAACAGTGAAATCTGCAAAGGACATCACAGAGATGAACATTTTCTCCTGCCACCCTACA